GGGGTGACAATGGGGTGGCCATGGGGTGACCCTGGGGTGGCTGTGGTGACCATGGGGTGGCTGTGGTGACCCTGTGGTGACCATGAGGTGACCCGGGGATGACAATGGGGTGACTGTGGTGACCCGGGGGTGGCTGTGGTGACCCGGGGGTGACCATGGGGTGGCTGTGGTGACCATGGAGTGACTACTGCCCCTCTGCCCCCTGCCCCTGTCCCCAGCTCGGTGACCTGGGGGTGACTGTGGTGACCCTGTGGTGACCATGTGGTGACCCTGGGGTGACCATGAGGTGACCCGGGGGTGACAATGGGGTGGCTGTGGTGACCATGGGGTGACCACTGACCCTACTGCCCCCTCCCTCTGTCCCCAGCTCGGTGACCCTGTGGTGACCATGGGGTGACCATGGAGTGACTGGGGGGTGGCCCGGGGGTGGCTGTGGTGACCCGGAGGTGACCATGTGGTGACCATGGAGTGACCACTGCCCCCTCTCCTGTCCCCAGCTCGGTGGCCCTGGGGTGACTGTGGTGACAATGGGGTGACTGTGGTGACCCTGTGGTGACCCTGGGGTGACCATGAGGTGACCCGGGGGTGACAATGGGGTGACTGTGGTGACCCTGTGGTGGCTGTGGTGACCCTGTGGTGGCTGTGGTGACAATGGGGTGGCTGTGGTGACCCTGTGGTGACAATGGGGTGGCTGTGGTGACCCTGTGGTGACCATGTGGTGACCACTGCCCCCTGCCCTGTCCCCAGCTCGGTGACCCTGTGGTGACTGTGGTGACCCGGGGGTGGCTGTGGTGACCTGGGGGTGACTCGGGGGTGACCATGTGGTGACCACTGCCCCCTCCCCCTGTCCCCAGCTCGGTGACCTGGGGGTGACTGTGGTGACCCTGTGGTGACCATGAGGTGACCATGGAGTGACCACTGCCCCCCCTGCCCCCCTGTCCTGTCCCCAGCTCGGTGGCACTGGGGTGGCTGTGGTGAGCCTATGGTGGCTGTGGTGACAATGGGGTGACTCGGGGATGGCTGTGGTGACCCTGGGGTGACCATGGGGTGGCTGTGGTGACCCTGTGGTGACCATGAGGTGGCTGTGGTGACCCTGTGGTGACCATGGAGTGACCACTGCCCCCTGCCCCTGTCCCCAGCTCGGTGACCCTGGGGTGACCATGAGGTGACCCGGGGATGACAATGGGGTGACTGTGGTGACCCTGTGGTGGCTGTGGTGACAATGGGGTGGCTGTGGTGACCCTGGGGTGACCCTGTGGTGGCTGTGGTGACCATGGGGTGGCTGTGGTGACCATGTGGTGACCATGGAGTGACCACTGCCCGCTCCCCTGTCCCCAGCTCGGTGGCCGAGCAGCTCAAGCGCGGTGAGACGGTGCAGGCCGAGGCGTTTGACAGCGTCACCATCTACTTCAGCGACATCGTGGGCTTCACGGCGCTGTCGGCGCAGAGCACCCCCATGCAGGTGGTGACGCTGCTCAACGACCTCTACACCTGCTTCGACGCCATCATCGACAACTTCGACGTCTACAAGGTGCGCCCGGGGACACGCGGGGACGTTTGGGGACACGCGGGGACGTTTGGGGACACGCGGGGACACGCGGGGAGTGACAGAGTCCCGGAATTCCCGTATCCCAAATAACCCCAAATCCCAGAATCCCCATATCCCAGAGTCCCGGAATCCCCATATCCTAAATAACCCCAAATCCCAGAATCCCAGTATCCCAAATACCCCCATATCCCAGAGTCCCAATATTTCAGAGTCCCAGAATCCCCATATCCCAAATATCCCCAAATCCCAGAATCCACATATCCCAAATAACCCCAGATCCCAGAATCCCAATATCCCAGAGTCCCAGAATTCCCATATCCCAAATAACCCCAAATCCCAGAATCCCCATATCCCAGAATCCCGGAATTCCCATATCCCAAATACCCCCAAATCCCACAATCCCAGTATCCCAGAATCCAAGTATCGCCAAATCCCATTATCCTGGAATCCCAGTATCCCAAATAACCCACAAATCCCAGAATCCCCATATCCCAGAGTCCCGGAATTCCCATATCCCAAAGTCCCAGAATCCCCATATCCCAAATAACCCCTAATCCCAGAATCCCAATATTTCAGAGTCCCGGAATCCCCATATCCCAAATACACACAAATCCCAGAATCCCAATATCTCCAAATCCCATTGTCCTGGAATCCCACAATCCCAGAATCCCAGAATCCCAATATCCCAAAACCCCATTGTCCCAGAATCCCAATATCCCAGCATCCCAGTATCCCCAATATCCCCAAATCCCAGAATCTCAAAACCCCAATATTCCAGAATCCCATTATCCCCGAATCCCCAAACCCTATTATCCCAGAATCACAATATCGCCAAATCCAAATATCCCAGAATCCCCAAATCCCAGAATCCCCAAACCCCAGAATCATAGAATCCAAATATCCCAGTATCCCAAAATCCCATTATCCCAAAACCCCATTATCCCAGAATTCCAATATCCCAGAATCCAAATATCTCCAAATCCCTGAATCCCCAAACCCCTGAATCCCATTATCTCCAAATCCCATTATCCCAGAATCCCAATATCCCTGAATCCCAAACCCCACTATCCCGGGATCAGCGAGGTTTTAAACACCCCCCCGAGTTTTTTGGGTTTTTTGGGGTCCCTGAATGCCTGCCAGTCCTTCCCCTTGGGGTGTTTGGGTTTTTTGGGGTCCCCCAGTCCTTCCCCAAAGGGTTTTTTGGGGTCCCCAAAACCCTCAGTCCTTCCCCAAAGGGTTTTTTTGGGGTCCCCGAACGTGCTCCAGTCCTTCCCCAAAGGGTTTTTTGGGTTTTTTTTGGGTTTTTGGGGTCCCCGAACGCCCGCCAGTCCCTCCCCTTGGGGTTTTTGGGTTTTTTTGGGTTTTTGGGGTCCCCGAACCCCCCCAGTCTTTCCCCAAAGGGTTTTTTTGGGGTCCCCAAACCCCCGTCCCCGCAGGTGGAGACCATCGGGGACGCCTACATGGTGGTGTCGGGGCTGCCCGAGCGCAACGGGACCCGGCACGCGCGGGAGGTGGCGCGGATGGCGCTGGCGCTGCTGGAGGCCGTGCGCTCCTTCCGCATCCGGCACCGGCCCCAGGAGCGGCTGGAGCTGCGCATCGGGATCCACACTGGTGGGATTTGGGGTCGGGAATGGGATTGGGATTGGGATTGGGGTCAGGGAATGGGCATTGGGGTCAGGGAATGGAAAACGGGCATCGGGATCCGGCACCGGCCCCAGGAGCGGCTGGAGCTGCGCATCGGGATCCACACCGGTGGGATTTGGGATTGGGAATGGGATTGGGAATGGGATTGGGGTCAGGGAATGCGTATTGGGGTCAGGGAATGGGAAACGGGGTCAGGAACGGGCATCGGGATCCGCATCCGCCACCGACCCCAGGAGCGGCTGGAGCTGCGCATCGGGATCCACACGGGTCAGGAATGGGATTGGGAACGGGATCGGGATCGGGAATGGGGTCAGGGAATGGGAAACGGGGTCAGGAATGGGGTCAGGGAATGGGAAACGGGGTCAGCAATGGGCATCGGGATCCGCATCCGCCACCGACCCCAGGAGCGGCTGGAGCTGCGCATCGGGATCCACACCGGTGGGATTTGGGATTGGGAATGGGAATGGGGTCAGGAATGGGGTCAGGAATGGGCATTGGGGTCAGGGAATGGGCATCGGGATCCACACGGGTGGGAATGGGTATTGGGGTCAGGGAATGGGAAACGGGCATTGGGATCCGGCACCGGCCCCAGGAGCGGCTGGAGCTGCGCATCGGGATCCACACCGGTGGGATTTGGGATTGGGATTGGGATTGGGATTGGGAATGGGATTGGGAACGGGAATGGGATCGGGATTGGGATTGGGGTCGGGAACGAGAATGGGAATGGGAACGGGGTCAGGATTGGGCATCGGGATCGGGATTGGGGTGGGGAATGGGATTGGGAATGGGGTTGGGAATGGGAACGGGAATCTGAATGGGGCATCCCCACGGGTCAATGGGAATGGGGACAGTGACGGGGATGGGGACACGGCAGCCACACGGATCAGAGGGTGGGGACAGCGGTGACACTGAGGACAGGACCCCTCCATGGTGACCCCAGGACCGTGTCCCCAGTGTCCCCAGTGTCCCCAGTGTCCCCAGTGTCCCCTCGCTGTCGCGCAGGTCCCGTGTGCGCCGGGGTGGTGGGGCTGAAGATGCCGCGGTACTGCCTGTTCGGGGACACGGTGAACACGGCGTCACGCATGGAGTCCAACGGGCAGGGTGGGGACATTGGGGACACCCTGGGGACACCCTGGGGACAGCGGGGACATTGGGGACACTCTGGGGACATCCTGCCTGTTCGGGGACACGGTGAACACGGCGTCACGCATGGAGTCCAACGGGCAGGGTGGGGACACCGGGGGGACATTGGGGACATTGGGGACATTGGGGACATTGGGG